GGACAGGGTACGCTTTAAAACCAATCTTTATTCGTGATTTTTTCTTCTACCTCACATATAAAGTTGTATATGTAAAGTATACTAAAATACAAAAGTTCCATCTGTAATGGCAAAGCCGTGTAATAAATAATAATCACCAAACTGGTATATTTTCACCATTAAGATACAGAAATCTTTCTCTCAGAACAATTTTCTTATAGATGGAGATTTACAATTTAGCATAAGTAAGTTTCTATATTATCTGTTTGTTGTCTTTGAATTTCGTAATTAGAAACAAAAGAATCGCTATGTTCTTGGGTTTGTATTTATTGATATTGTTTGTCAAAATATTGGATTTTTCAATTTAATCATGGAAATATCAACATAATAATTGACGAATTGTTGACTATTTGATGAACAGTATGTGAAAGATGATGAGCGTTTATATATAATAAACCATGGAATCGAAGCATCGATGACATATTGCTTTTCATAGTTAATGCATACATTTTCATCGGAAATTACTGATTATGAAATTCCATAAACAAATGGATTCCATAAAATCAGTGAAATAAAATCTCACGCAAATATTAACGATATCTAAGTAATAGTAAGCCAGCGGTTTGACGAAAAGTTGCATTAAGGTGTTATGAGGTACAATATAGCAGGACTTGCCGAAGTTACGTAACAGGGCTTATTAGTATTTCCCTCATTATGCTGGAAATAATTCCCCTTCATTTCCAGGAGATAAGACTTGGTGTGGTCTATAACTACATACACTTTCTGCACTGGATAACTCTTCACGCCAGTGTTAATTCGTATGTATATTCTAAACCAACTAAGTATATATAAGTGGCACTGACATGAGCGATAAACCACCTAAGTGGCATTGACATGAGCGATAAACCACCTAAGTGGCATTGACATGAGCGATAAACCACCTAAGTGGCATTGACATGAGCGATAAACCACCTAAGTGGCATTGACATGAGCGATAAACCACCTAAGTGGCATTGACATGAGCGATAAACCACCTAAGTGGCATTGACATGAGCGATAAACCACCTAAGTGGCATTGACATGAGCGATAAACCACCTAAGTGGCATTGACATGAGCGATAAACCACCTAAGTGGCATTGACATGAGCGATAAACCACCTAAGTGGCATTGACATGAGCGATAAACCACCTAAGTGGCATTGACATGAGCGATAAACCACCTAAGTGGCATTGACATGAGCGATAAACCACCTAAGTGGCATTGACATGAGCGATAAACCCAAGTGTCGTTGTACAAACACATTCCAGATCTTACAGAGTGACTGTTTTAATAAATACATATTTACTATATACTTTTTTCTAAACATATTCAATTTTAGTGAACTTATATTTAAACATACAATATTAATCAAACACTTTTTTTCCTCGTTTTTTCCCCTGTTTGAATGTTGTTGTTTTTGTTTCTTTTTTTAATCGGTAATAATTTAAAGGAAAGGAACCAAAGCCTTTTTATATCAAGTATTGTATTAACCGTACCGGTGTTTTCCTTGTCAGCCATCATTATGTTTGTTCTTGTGATATTAGGATAACACATCAATTAACTGTACAATGAAATGACAATTGAAACACGGAAATCGTGAGAGAGCTTTTCAGTTAAGCATTTAATTTCTCTCTTAACAGTACATGTGTATGATTCGCGTTTCTTGAACTTCAAAATAAGAATAACTTTAATAAGCAATACAAAATCCCACGCTTTAAATTTATTTAACTATCTAAGATGTAACAGGTGAATAAATGTCGCCAAAACTAATTACCAGTATATGTTATATACTTTAATTTTAATTTCAATTTAATATTTACATTTCAAAAAGGTTGATTAATTACGGCGAAGATTAAAAACATTGTTACACATGTACAGTATAATGTACAAGGTTATTAAGGATTAAATGTAGTGCAATGTACTATTCTATTGTGTAATATAAAATGTTTATAAAGTTTAATATGTCATAATCAGTATTTATAAGATGTGATATTCAATTTTGTATAAGAGTAATATACAATGTTAATACAGTTTTATATGTAATGCTCATAAAATGTGATATGAAGTATTTATAAGATGTGATACTCAATTTTTATAAACAGTCATATAAAATGTTTATTAAGTTTGACATACAGTGTTTATATACTATGACATACAGTGTTTATATACTATGACATACAGTGTTTAAATACTATGACATACAGTCTTTATATACTATGACATACAGTGCTTATATACTATGACATACAGTGTTATATACTATGACATACAGTGCTTATATACTATGACATACGGGGTTTATATACTATGACATACAGTCTTTATATACTATGACATCCAGTGTTTATATACTATGACTTACAGTGTTTATATACTCTGCCATACAGTGTTTATATACTCTGCCATACAGTGTTTATATATTATGACATACAGTGTTTATATACTATGACATACAGTGTTTATGTAACTTGTGAACGTCTGAAAGTATGCATTTAATAATACAGATTAAAATGACCAAACATCGGAGTTTATATTGAAATTAAAGTTGTTTTTAAATTTTATTTTTTTCTTTAAGATGATCGCCCCTTGCGCGTGTATGATGACCACGTCATTGCACTCAGTATGTCAACACGAAATGTGAATACTAATGAATAGGCGTACTAACTTACAACACAACTGGAACCATGTTCGATATTAGATATGTTATAATGGTGATTGGTTATCTACATATACATGGAATAGTTTCAGTCGATGTCCAGATTGAATAATTCAGAGTAAAGAGAAAAATCAAAGCGTGCATTCTTATCCATTATTTAAAAAAATGTCACCTGCTAATTAATTAATGGCGTTTTAAATCAATTCCAATGGATGGACATGACATGTCTTATAAGGTGTTCACATGTCACACTGATAACACGATCTAAGAGGTATAACTTACATGGACGTCACAAACATATACCACATACAAACCATAGTGTAAGACTAGTAACGAGCGCCTGATACAAGGCATATCTGCTTAGTAAAAGCAGCAGGTTAGCAGCTACGCCCGATACAGTAAGCTTTGTTATCCATATTTCATCATGAACAACAGGATGGTCCCAGGAGCAATAAACAATGACAGTTGCTAACTGTACTTTTACATATTTGCGATTTGTGTTACAACACTAAATAAACTCTCATAAAGAAACCAACATTTAGCCCCCGATACGCTTATGCTCTGTACTTTTTAGCGTTCTTATTCTAACTAATTTTAAAATGTGTAATAACATATTTATCTATTATTATTCTAGTATATTTTCTAATACATATGTACAAAATTGTCATATTTAAGCTCTTTCCATCGAATTCAAAAAGTGTAAATAAAATTCATGGTTAAAAATATTTGTAAAACCTCAACATTATGCGTGAATGTTTTACAATATAGATACATCTGTCGCTAGATCATAATGGGTGAACCTGAGATAAATGAACGATAGCAGAAATTAACCAAGTACTTTACAGTTTTCTGTATATACCAGTATAAGTACTAGTAATAATATACAATATTTGATATAGCGCCCTATCTAGCTAAAACACTTTCTATGAATATTCCATGCGTGCGACGACTTCCGGGATCGAACGTTGTCCGCCTACGTGGAAGGCCGGAGTGTTAACCACTCGACCAATCCGCCCATTGCGACACATTATAATATTGTATTAGAATGACAACGCCTGAAAAATAGACAATTAGCCAAGATAAACGTATGACAAACACAATGTGCCACATTTACTTAATTTTATAACTGATACTGTAACAAATTTTGCTTTGTGGTACAACTCTTTGTGTTTATACTGTGGTCGTAAGTGTTTGCCCTCACGGCTCGTATGAATAAATATCATCATTTTGCGAATAAGTTGGAGAAATGTACAATCCTGAAATAAGCATTTGTCAACAATCATACGCCACGTGCGAGAACGACGGACCTGTCAAATTGGTTACCATGGCAAATTATGAAAACAGAAACAATATATAGTGTATATATTGCGACAAACACAGGTTATTAGTTTACAGACGCATACTGTAGCAAGCTGTTCCGGAAGTTAGGAAACAAAATAATATACAACACACTTGTATCTATGCATTAAATTATACATAGGACAAAACGTGAACATGATATTAATTTGAGTATAAAAAAACATTCATTTATTTTACACAGATGCCGTACAATGTTTTACATGATGTTACAAGTAATAAAAAGCTAATTCACGTTTCTATACTATGTTAATGAATGTATATAACTAACTGTCGGTGAACAGGTTTACAGACACCGTTGATATTAGATTGGATACAGTGTAACTTTTCTCATTAGAACGACAATTAATTACAGAATTGAAGAGAGCTGTTTTTGAGAATGAACGAAGCACAGACACAGGTCATTGAACCTTTAAAAGTTTGTAATAGATACAGCATGTCACAACTGAATTACACAGCATCATACAACTGTTCTATCCTTATAGGTGATGCTAGGTGCAAACAGTTGGAAATCAAAATTGTCTAGACTGATATTACAAAGGGTAGGTGCAGGTAGCATAATATGATTAACTCTTGTACCATATGTAAATGAATCTGGAAATTCCATCATGGAAACCTCTGACCACCAAAACGGTTATTATTAGTGCTATTAATTAATGTTGCAATCCCTAGATCGTGACGCGAGACGACGGGTTGTGATTGAAGAACAATTTACGTTTAACACATGACGTAGAACGGTGGTTTGACATACTTATGAATAATTTAACAGCGCCACATTTTTTTTTTTAAATTAGTGTTTGCTTAGCGACAGAAAAAAGTCAATTATTAAATCAGTATGCTGCCCGTTTTCTTATTTAATCACTGGTAATCGCGTTTTTTTGTGTGGAAATAGTGTTAATTTGCTTCTTTATTCTTTTTTCGTTTTCCCATAACATGAATTATAAGAAATAATTTCACTGTATTTTGTACGCCTGGACGTAGTTAAGCTGGCACTGTTCCTTCTCTAAACATGTCCTGTCTTAACTGTCGCCAGCGTTGATTTGTTTGTGAACTCGTGACACTATTTGGCATATGAAAACTACATGAATACGTTTCGGGATCATTTACACGCCCTGTGTCTATGGTATAAGATAGGAGGATAGAGTTTTGAAATCTATCTTAAGGAATGGATATTGTCATCTGTATGTGTTTATGGGCAATAGGTGAGTGAGTTATGACTTTCTATCATTTATACGTAAAGTACATAGGTATATACTTTTGTGCAATGCATTTAAATTGCTTTCTACGAACAAATGTTGTTTATCTGAATAAGAATATAAACATTTTCGTCTTAAGTAAGGTGTTACATGTACAATGAACATAGTATCTATGGTAGGTTTACGTTTACCTATCAACCGGCTTACAGGTGTTGATACTTACTGGCCAGCCATCTTTTCGTTTATTGCACGTGTTTACAGTATATCAGAAAGCTTGTTCACCACAAGAACACTTATTGTGAGTTCTCGCTTATAAGAAAACAATTTATGTCGAACCTATGACCAAGAAATTTAACGAATTGTGTTTTATGTCGACTGGGATTTGTATTAAGCAAGCTATATTTTCCCTCTTTTGTAGGTGGCTATACCGTTTTCACCCAGCAACTTCATAACACAGATCCATTTTTTACAACGAGACCTCTGTTTCAACAACAACAAGCACGGCCTACTCTTTCGGGAGACAAGCAACGCATCCCAGAGAGCGATTCATTAACCCGTTCTGTAAAACAGCCATTATCCGAAGTAAATCAACGTTTTGGCCCTGTAAATCCACCAGCTGTTCCCCCTCCAGCCCCTCCACCCCCACCACCACCTCCACCACCTGTTGCACCCTTAGTCCTATCAGCCATCTCACAAAATGACCTATCAAAATTTAAGTATCGCATTCCAGCAGTGAATAAACCTGGACCTGAAGATCCTGTAATCGGACCTAAGGATCCAGTCAAAAAACCACTTGATACGGCAATAGCACCGAAGGATCCAGTCACAAAACCTCTTGATACGGGATTAGGACCGGAGGATCCAGTTACAAAACCTCTTGATACGGGATTAGGACCCAAGGATCCAGTCACAAAACCTCTTGATACGGGATTAGGACCCAAGAATCAAGTCAAAAAACCTCTTGATACGGGATTAGAACCCAATGATCCAGTCACAAACCCTCCTGATACGAGACTAGGACCCAAGGATCCAGTCAAAACACCTCTTGATACGGGATTAGGACCAAAGGGCGCACAAATTCCCATACCCCCAGCTGTGGAAAAAAGATGCCCAGAGTATCGTTCTTTATACAGGAGAGACAGGTTGATACTACTTTACCAAGAGGACAGATGTGAAATGTAAGAAAGCGAAGATTATATAGTATGTCTCCTGTATTTTAAGCACCTGCTTAGTATAAACGCATGCGCTGTAAACCGTTCTTAAACACGAGTCTGAACGCTTTCTAAATCATGGTTAACTAATAATACATTTCCTATTTTCAGGGAGGTCCGATTACGAAGAGATAAACAAACAAGGTAATTAATCATTGATTCCGGCTCTTAATTGATGTCATTGTTTAATACTATATCTGATGTTTTAACATTCAATTTGAAGGTACATTTGGTATTATACCAAATAGAAATTTCAAATCGTATCTCAATTACAAATGACTTATTTTTGTTATTATACTGACTTTATTACTCTGACTTAATTCATTGTTGAAAACACAACTACTTACTTACAATTCATAGGTTATTACCACTAATTTAATGTGTAGATGTCAGTTCTGCCACTGACTGAATACATAGGTGTAAGTACTATCACTGACTTAATACATAGGTGTTAGTACTATCACTGAAGTAATACATAGATGTACGTACTACCACTGACTTAATACATTTTTGTAAGTACGATCACTGACTTAATACAAAGATGTAAGTACTATCACTGACTTAATATATAGGTGTAAGTACTATCACTGACTTAATACATAGATATAAGTACTATCACTGACTTAATACATAGGTGTAAGTACTATCACTGACTTAATACATATATGTGAAAACTACCATTGACTTAAGTCATAGATGTAAGCACTACCATTGACTCAATTCATAGGTGTAAGTACTACCACTGACTTAATACATAGATGTAAGTACTATCACTGACTTAATACATAGATGTAAGTACTACCATTGACTTAATTCATAAGTGTAAGTACTACCACTGACTTAATACATATATGAAAGTACGACGACTGACTTAATTCATAGATGTAAGTACTACCACTGATTTAAGACATAGATATAAGTACTATCACTGACTTAATACATAGGTGATAGTAATACCACTTACTTAATTCTTAGGTGTAAGTACTACCACTGACTTAATACATAGATGTCAGTAGTATCACTGACTTAATACAAAGATATAAGTACTATCACTGACTTAATAAATAGGTGATAGTAATACCACTTACTTAATTCATAGGTGTAAGTACTATCACTGACTTAATACATAGATGATAGTAATACCACTTACTTAATTCATAAGTGTAAGTACTATCACTGACTTAATAATAGGTGTTAGAACTACCACTGACTTAATACATAGGTGTTAGTACTACCACTGACTTAATACATAGATGTACGTACTACCACTGACTTAATACATTTTTGTAAGTACGATCACTGACTTAATACAAAGATGTAGGTACTATCACTGACTTAATACATAGGTGATAGTAATACCTTTTACTTAATACATAGGTGTTAGTACTACCACTGACTTAATACATAGATGTACGTACTACCACTGACTTAATACTTTGATGTAAGTACGATCACTGACTTAATACAAAGATATAAGTACTATCACTGACTTAATACATAGGTGATAGTAATACCACTTACTTAATTCATAGGTGTAAGTACTATCACTGACTTAATACATAGATGTCAGTACTACCATTGACTCAATTCATAGATGTAAGTACTACCATTGACTCAATTCATAGGTGTTAGTACTACCACTGACTTAATGCATAGATGTAAGTACTACCACTGACTTAATAATAGATGTAAGTACTATCACTGACTTAATAAAAAGATATAAGTACTATCACTGACGTAATACATAGTTGTAAGTACTACCATTGACTTAATACATAGATATAAGTACTATCACTGACTTAATACATAGATGTAAGTACTACCATTGACTTAATACATAGATGTAAGTACTATAACTGACTTAATACATAGGTGTAAGTACTATCACTGACTTAATACATAGATGAAAGTACTACCACTGACTTAATTACATAGGTGATAGTAATACCACTTACTAATACATAGATGTAAGTACTACCATTGACTTAATACATAGCTGTAAGTACTACCATTGACTTAATTCATAGATGTAAGTACTATCACTGACTTAATACATAGGTGATAGTACTACCACTGACTTAATTCATAGGTGATAATACTACCACTGACTTAATTCATAGATATAAGTACTATCACTGACTTAATTCATAGATATAAGTACTACCATTGACTTAATACATAGCTGTAAGTACTACCATTGACTTAATACATAGATGTAAGTACTATCACTGACTTAATACATAGGTGATAGTAATACCACTTACTTAATTCATAGGTGTAAGTACTACCACTGACTTAATTCATAGGTGAAAGTACTACCACTGACTTAATTCATAGGTGTTAGTACTACCATTGACTTAATACATAGGTGATAGTACTACCACTGACTTAATACATAGGTGATAGTACTACCACTGACTTAATACATAGGTTTAAGTACTACCACTGACTTAATACATAGGTGATAGTACTACCACTGACTTAATACATAGGTGATAGTACTACCACTGACTTAATGCATAGGTGTAAGTTCTACCACTGACTTAATACATAGGTGATAGTACTACCACTGACTTAATACATAGGTGTAAGTACTACCACTGACTTAATACATAGATGATAGTACTACCACTGACTTAATACATAGGTGATAGTACTACCACTGACTTAATTCATAGGTGTAAGTACTACCATTGACTTAATACATAGGTGATAGTACTACCACTGACTTAATTCATAGGTGTTAGTACTACCATTGACTTAATACATAGGTGATAGTACTACCACTGACTTAATACATAGGTGATAGTACTATCACTGACTTAATACATAGGTGTAAGTACTATCACTGACTTAATACATATATGTGAAAACTACCACTGACTTAATTCATAGGTGTTAGTACTACCATTGACTTAATACATAGGTAATAGTACTACCACTGACTTAATATATAGGTGTAAGTACTACCACTGACTTAATACATAGATGATAGTACTACCACTAACTTAATACATAGGTGATAGTACTACCACTGACTTAATTCATAGGTGTAAGTACTACCACTGACTTAATTCATAGGTGATAGTACTACCACTAACTTAATTCATCGTAATATTTATAACAGTTTCGTGTTAAATCGACTGACGATGATTAATTCATCCTAAGATGATATTGAAAATAAATGAAAGATATCAATCCCGAATAAAGTAGACAATCAATTATCATCTCGCTTCGTGATTTAAAATGATATTTGTGAGCAATCTTTTAGACAATCGAAATTATATAGAAGAAAACGTCAATATTAGTAAGGCTGGTAAAGTTTTTCGAACTATTTTTTTTTATAGAAATTGTAACAAACAATTATGAAGAGTATCAGGATCGCTAAATATATGTCTAGCGGACAACGTCAAAAATTGGATTGAAATGGAGATAAAAGATCGTCACATTTCTAGTATTTCCTAGTTTCATTGCTCCCTATACAAATTTCTTTTATGTTGACATTTTGAACGTATACCTCCTCTGAAAATGTAGTGTTCATATACATAATAATCTAACATGTTATTGTTGTTAATTTTGCTTTTATGTATCTATTCACAAGTCATCTTAAATTGCACTTTATATCTTTTATTACACTTTATTGGGAGATAATTGATTTGATCAACGTGATAAAACTGATATTTTTTTCACATTATGACATATATGTAACGTGATATCAGTAACACTGTGACGACATTTGTTGTTCTCCAATCAGAACGGACTTTTCTATTCACTGCACTCATAACCGAAGTTTTTTTTCCTGTTTAGATTCAGATGAAGCCTATTATATATATTTACTAACAAATCGTTTTAAGTAGGTAAAGTAAAAAAACAATTTACTTTGTTGTCAATTCTATAAATTCTCTAATTTTCTAATTCAACGACATTTTGTCGTCATAAGTACTTCTATAATGTATAAAACAGAAATATGAATGGTTGTACAATTGAAAACAAAATATACTTCATTAGTGTTTACAAAATGTATGGATATACATATATCGTATATAGGCATTCACATATTCCTGAAGCGTATTTTGTATTCAATGGGAGACCGCTAAATATCCTCTATAACTCGTACTTTCTATGTCCATGCTACGTCAGTGTGTTTACATAATCACATAAATGTCTTGACAACAACACCTTATTTGACGTCATAAATGAGATAACTGTGGGAGGGAACATTCTTAATTAGAAATGTATCACATTGATATGCATACTCTCAAATTCGGTCATTTGTGCTCGTTTGACAAGATCTGTGTGTTTATGTTTTAAATGCTTTAGAGGAGAAACCACATCCGTGAGATTCAGGAGGCATAGACAATCAAAACAGGACAGACAGCGAGCATCAAGGACACAGGGACAGAAAGTAGTATGCGATGAACTCCCGGTCACTGAGGTAGCAGGCACAAAGTCTATTATCACTCGCCCAGACGAGTGCAAGCTGTGAGTATTCTGAAGATGTATCTTGTTTCTTCCTGCAAGAAGTGGCTTGTTATAAATATGTAAACTGAAATGGTAAAACAAAGGATTGCGTAACTAGCCTGTTCATGTTACAAACAGCGACTGGAGTTTAATAACCTGTGTGTTCACGTAGATCAATATATTTCATAGTGTTTACAAACAAAAACTTGTCAATTATATGTAGGATTATATCATGTTTACAGTTATAAGACGTTCTGTTGTTTGATCTATTGCAGAGATTTATCAGTCGAGCTGGTAGCAATGCCACCTGGACGATCCGGTAAACAACACAGAAATCGAAAAAGGTAACCATGAACAGTCCATTTCAATATCAGAGTGACTACCTAGTGTAACACCAGTGGACCATAGCTTTACGTGAAGGGTATTTAACTTATTGTAAACGATGTCTGCAGGATTCTCCTGTCTTCCATGTGTTTGACTGTAAACACAATGTGCTGGATTGTCTGGTCGTCTTTGTTATTGACTATAAACACTTTGTGCTGGATTGTCTTGTCGTCTTTGGTGTTGGATTTAAACACTTTGTGCTGGAATGTCTGGTCCTCTGTGTTGTTGACTGTAAACACTTTGTGCTGGATTGTCTTGTCATCTTTGGTGTTGGATGAAAACACTGATTGCTGGATTGTCTGATTGTATTTTTCATGGACTGTAAATACTGTGTGCTGGAATGTCTTGTCATCTTTGGTGTTGAATGTAAACACTTTGTGCTGGAATGTCTTGTCGTCTTTGGTGTCGAATGTAATCACTTTGTGCTGGAATGTCGTGTCGTCTTTGGTGTTGAATGTAAACACTGTGTTCTGGAATGTCTTATCGTATTTGTTGTTGACTGTAAACACTGATTGCTGGATTACCTTATTATCTTTGTTGTTGACTGTAAATACTGATTAATGGATTACCTTGTTATCTTTGTTGTTGACTGTAAATACTGTGTGCTTGAATGTCTTTTCGTATTTGTTGTTGACTGTAAATACTGTGTGCTGGAATGTCTTGTCGTATTTGTTGTTGAATGTAAACACTTTGTGCTGGAATGTCATGTCGTATTTGTTGATGAATGTAAACACTGATCGCTGGATTACCTTGTTAGCTTTGTTGTTGACTGTAAACACTGACTGCTGGATAACCTTGTTATCTTTGTTGTTGACTGTAAACCCCGATTGCTGGATTACCTTGTTACCTTTGATGTTGACTGTTAATACTGATTGCTGGATTACCTTGTTATTTTTGGTGTTGACTGTAAACACTGATTGCTGGATTACCTTGTTATCTTTGGTGTT